TGACATTTCCACTGGGGCCAGTGTTCTCCCGCATACCTAACTATTCTGTCCAGGTTAAGTCTCGACATTTGCTGTGGACAGGGGAGGTCAGTGCGCATGTTGATGATTGAAGATCAGAAAATCCTGAACCCAGCGGCTCTTGCGATCGTGCCCGCTCTCGAGGGTTTTGCCCTCGTCGGAGTTGAATTTCTGGCCGAGTGTCTCAGAATAAGCCCCGACTTAGGAATTGGCATTTCTCCTATTCCCGCTGCTGCTGCTGCTGCTGCCTGTTCGGGCATCCGCGTCCGAAGTAATTTTCTAGTTTCTGTAGTGTGATTGCTTTGTCCACAACTGCACCGTATTCGGTAAATCATTCGAAACATTTCCTTTTTCTGTTACTATTTGTGATGCTGGGCTCAAGTGTGAATGCAAAATATCATACGGATCAAATCGTTTTTCCAGAACTCGCGTTTTCTTTTCAATGACCTCCTGAAACCCCATTGTTCGTTTGCACCCACGACCTCAGTTAGTCGTGGGTGAGGGAGCATTGTAGGGGCCCCAAAGTGCTTATACGTTTTCTCACGCTGATCGCTTGCTCCGTTGTTTTTACAAAAGCGGTACGGCTCGCATCCCTTCAACAAATTATAAGTTAGGGCGTTTCCATTGAATTGTCGTACGTCCATGTATTCCAGTCTCAGGCTGGTATACAATCGATTTGTCCTTACATGGAGCTCCAAGCTAGAGCTGTTGCGAGCACTTGGAGAGCTTCAGGTAATTAGTACTATCGAGACGTGACCGACAAAAGCAGGACAGACCAGATTCGTGCATCCTCTTTAACCACGCCACCATTGACTGGGTTCTCGGGAAGGTCCTACAGGAAAATGACGGTATGTATTCGGCTTGAACTCGGACGCCGGTTGACTGACCTCGTCTATGCCGAAGATATCGCCTTATTGGCTTCAAGCTTTGGCGATCTACAGTCAGTGGTGTCACGCGTGAACGAAGTCGCGAAATCGGTCGAAAAAAGGGCATGGTAGGACTTGTGCACTAATCTACAAACGTTCTATTATTATCCAAATGCTAACCACTATTACCTCACACAGTTTGGGAGTGCATGCTGGG